CCAAGTGGATTGAGGTAAGTGGTTAGATCAATGCATGAATAATTGTAAATTGGCATGTGTTGTATGAGTTTTTGAGTAATTGAGAATGTCCTCTGTGTAGGCATTTTGTTGAGTATCAAGTTGGGCAATAAGCTGTTGTGGAGCTAAGTGGAGGAATATATTGAGGGAACCTTTTGGTACTGGGGCTTGTTCCCCTTGTGTGTTCCACCATACCCGTTGAGGGTGATGGTAGGAAATGTATATGAGTAGTGTAGAATAACATGAGCATGCATGTAGTATTTATGAGGGTACTTCAGTACCGAGTCTCTGGCCAGTAGACAGTGTAGCCTTCGGGCAAGTCGGACATCCACTGGATAGGTCTCCGAGAGGGAGTTCCAGTTGACCTAGGGTCGTGGTGTGTAATCCGGATAGGAGCACACTAGAAAGTCCCGAGTGTATACGGATGGGAGGGGTACCTTGGTTTGATGTTCTAGGAACACGCCTTGGATGAGACCCATAGGCTTATATGCCGAGGACGTTGCATGGTATTGGTAGCTACCATTCTCGCTTCGTCGTATTTTGTATTCCTACATTCCCCGACTTCTCTAAATCCCTTGCTTTATCCCGTTTTGAAAAGTTATTTTATATTATTTATATGCATCGAAGTGAGCCATTGGGCGGAGTTTTCTCCAGAACCTCTGGGTTACTGAGATATATTTATATATCTCACCCCGTCTTGGGGGCTTTAATTCAGGAGGTAGCAGTGGCACTGGAGCGGCAAGCTAGAAGCCCGTAGGATGACTAGTCGGAGCACTTTTATTATTTTGCATTTGGGTGGCCACTTGGCCTAGGCTAGACTTAGGGCATGAACATCCCATATGTATGTAGGATGAATTTCATAGTCATATTTGTTCATGTCATTTTGCCTAAGTCTAGTGTATATGTCATTTGAAGTTTTATGTATCAAGTTGTAAATTAAAGTTGTGAATTTGTAAGTTGTAATTTAAAGTTTGAAGTTGTAAGTTGTAACATGTAAGTTAAATGTTGTAATTGTACGATGGATGCTTGATGTACTATGATGGAAGGGCTTTAGGCCTATTTTAGGTTTATGATTACTTGTATGTTGAGAATTTGCATGAAAATGGACTTTGGTGATTGAAACAAGTTAAGGATTATAAAGTGAGCTATATTGTGTAATAAATATAAACTGAGTTGGGTTGTAAGTGCCCCAAGGCATTGTTGGTCCTTGTGTGTGCCACCCATTGGATTATTAGGTACATTTGAGGTACTAGAGAGCTTTTGCAAATTTGGGGATTTTAGGAAAAACAAAGGAAACGCTGGCGAATTTTCTGTAGAATTGGCAGAATTTAGGTGAAATTCGGGAGAGCATATCTCCTTCCACAAAGGTCCGATAGGGACTTACCATACGCCATTTTTAAGGTTGAGATGTCGTCTTTCTTGTGGTAAAATTTGAGAGAAATCTGGGTTGAAAGCTGGCCTGTAGAAGTCAGAGAGTGCAGACTGCCCAATTGTTCACTGCACTTGTGGCAGTTCTGGACCAGTTTTGGGAAATTAATTCCCGCTTCCTTTCTTGGTCAAATTAGGTATATGATATATAAAATTGAATATTGAGGTGTCTAGTTTATGGTATAAAAATTTGAGAGCAATTGTTGAGTGTATTTTCTGCAGTAATTCGTGGAGTGAGGGATGTTTAGAGCTGTTTTGGGGTTGGTTGGCAGTTTTGCTTGTACAACTTCAAACGGCGATATCCGGAGCATACGAGATCGAAATGATTCGTGTGATGTCTCATTAGAAAGGTAATTAAGTAAGAAAAAAGATAGCTAAGGATGAAGGACTGGTTTTGTACGGTGTGTCTGCAGAAAAATAATAACCGAACCATGTTCGGATAGGTAGAAAACGTAAGATTAAGAAATTGGCTAAGTGGGTTTATGGGAACCCCTTAGTATCTTATAGTAAGTAAAATAAGATATAAAAATAGTTTAATCTAGTATTCCGCAAGAGTTTATTACAGTTATGATCACAGCTTTTATTTATTACGCTTTTTACAGTTTTAAATATTCGCGTAATAAACGGAAAAAGTTTACTCGCATTTTTATAAATGAATTGTTGTGATTGTAACTGCACTTAATATCATAATTAATGTTAGCAATACCGGTGTACAACGGGCTATTACATAACCCAGGTGGCAACTCTTCTGGTATAATATCCTCAAATTCCCTAATTAAGATTAGGACTTGTGAATGCAATTCTTTGATATAATTGGTATGTTCATCTGCATTCATACTAAACTGCTTGGGAACTATAAATATTGCGAGTTCAAAGGGAGTAAGTGGACAAAACCCATAAACTATTCCAAAAGGACTATTTCCTGCAGTTTGGTTCAATGATCGCATCTGTGATCCGTCATTGGAAAATTTTGTCTGATGTACCAGCAAGTCCCATTGCCCTTGACGATCTCCAATTAAACTTCTACCAAAAGATAAATCTTTATCTCCATGGAGCATGAGGTTGTGATGCTCATTGTCCCCAAATTCATAATATTGTTTGCAAACTAAAGACTTATTGAATGAAGGATCATTCTGCATGATATCTTTGGGTAGAACTTTCTCTTTGTCAGAGATATTACAATTTCTAATAACTGACTTTCCACTGAAATCATTACAAGAGATTTCTTCCACCTCTGGATTCTCATCGTCTTGCTCCCAATCATACTTATCATAGATAGGGAACTCGTTATAAACTGGAGCATCCATAACGAGATTCTCATCATCTTGATCTTCATCATAGATCGAGACCCTATGATCTTCTGTCAAGTCTCTGATATAAAAGACTCTTTCGATGGTGTGTAACCCGTCGATGAACTCATCTAGATGAGTGGTGCCCTTGAATTCCGGGATCTCAATCTTCACCACAATATTAGCAAAAAAAGGATTTATCGCCAGGTTGACTTCGTCCTTGTCGCTCCTGGTCCCATAATGGGTTTTCGCTCTTTTTCTCTATCTGAGATGATCTTTCAGACTCCCTTCCTTCATCTGACTCGTCCAACTGTGTTTGGGCAAACAGTTGTTCGAGCTCCTGACTTCGTCTACCTTGTTCTGCCATTGTAGCGGCCATTGCAGCTATAACTATGCGTCTCTTGCATCGATGTGTGGTTGTTCGCCGTCACCGTTAAGGGTGTTACCACGCCCTCTACCGCCGTCGTCGCCTCGACCCTGTTGTCCACGACCTCGACCTCGACCGCCATTGTTCTGTTCATCCATTTATGTGACAACCAGAGCTCTAATACCAAATAATGATAAAGCAGTAACCTATTTGCTAAACAGGGATTGCGATAACGAATACAAGGATTATGAGAAAACACTTTTCTCTTTTCTTAATTTTATTTAACCCAAAAAATAACATAATAATAATAAGGTTCTCCACGTCTTAAATAGGCAAAATAAAATAACAAAAAAAAAGTAAATAACTATAATCATGCACAATCAAAGGAGATAACGTATAATCAATGCACACTCAAACATAATCTAAAAATAACAAAAAAAGAAAATAATTAACAGTTATTGAAAAATCCTAAACTATGAAATAAATTATAGAAAAACTCAATCCAAGTCAGTCACCTCAGGTGCATCAGATTTTGATTGGCTTGCCCCACTGAATCAATGGTGCTCCTGGAGCACCTTAATAATTTCGAAGAAGTAGGAGGTATATTGTGTAACCAATAAGGATATCTCAGCCGATAAGTACGTTATTGGGCAAAATTAAGGGGAATGATTGGTTGCACTGAATAATAGTTATTCAGGTACTAGGCAAATATCAGTTGAAAGAGTCACATTTTTCTTGTTCAATTTTTACCCATTTAACATTCCTTTTATTAACGTTATACCATGTCCTTTCGTTTGAGGAATTAAGTCAAATTAGTAATTCACGAAGCATAATTTAATTTTTCAGGTTTTTATGCTCTATCTAAAACTGATGGACATGGATCACGTGCTAGTGGGATTAATATTTTCTTTAGAGAAATGATTAGTTGAGTTGAATGAGATTTTATTCATATAATTATTAATTTTAGCTTTTTCAGTGTAATGTCTTTTAAAACTGTACTTTAATTTCGGTTTTATTAATATTTTTTTTTTGTATTAAATTAATGGTTGAAACATTAACTATATAATGTAACTAGTTGGAAATGTAAATAATTTAAATGATACAACAACACATAATAAAATTATAACAAATATATTTACAATGTTTTGATGCATAACTCCAGCTATAGGAGAAGATTGTTTTCCTACCACACTAACATCCATATGATGGGTCCCATCACCATTAAATAAATAAAAAAACTTCAAAAAAAAAATTCTTGTGAGAGCGATGCTCAATGTGCAGGTTTAGTTTTAGAATGTGTTTCAAAAACTTTTTTATACTTAATCTCAATTTGTATTCAAAACTCTCTCTATGCTATTTTATTAAGTTGTCAAATGTCCCATCTTAAACTATCATCTTCGTGTCCAATCAAAACTAGTTAGTATTATGGATACTGTTAATCACATTATTGGAAAACTTATATACTTCGTTTTCTATCTTTGCCAAGGCCTTTCTACTGAACAGAAAAAAAAAAAAAAAATTACCATAACAGAAACAAAATCAAATACAAAAATCCTTTTTACTTCTTCTTTTACAACCCACAGGAGTATTTGATCGTTTCCATCTTGTAATATTATTTAATTTTCATGTAAATCCGACAAAGTATTAGTTTCTTTTAGGTGCTCCACGTATTGATTCATTTTTATTTTTTTCGTAAATACGTATTGATTCATTCTATCGATGTTTTTCCCTCACATTGCTCGCTCTTATTTAAACATATACGTGGTACTATGTTTAAACATGACTCACGTGTAAAGAGGAACACTGGTGGGAAGATTTCTATATAAGGCTTCAATATCTGACCATGTAAGGCACACCTAAAGCCACTGAAATTAGCCTAAAAAAAAAAAAAGATGATGATGAAAAGCAAGTTTCTTTTGGCTTTGGCTTTGCTACTCTTGGGAATTCTCTATTGTGAAGCAAACTATTACAACACATATGATTATTTGGAACTAGCCTTGAGGTGGCCAAACTCCTATTGCTCCATACATGAAGGCACTTGCAGGGACACAGTGCCCCAACATTTCACTATTAGCTACCTTCACCCCATGAAAAGGGGAGGGCCTGATCTGAAATATTGTCCAACACCATATCCTCTACCAAATAGCACTGTCAGTATCTCTTACTTTCTTAGACATTGAGCTTACTATTTTATCTTCTATTTATGGATGGTTTTCATATTTCTTTTGGGGGGAAAGTGATTCATCCTTGAAATTTGAATAGACCAAATAACTGGGACAAAAGTAGTTTCTAAAAGCCTAGAATGTTAGCTCAACCAGAATGATACCTTGTTGATTTAAAGGTGTTTGGTTTGATTTCAAATAGTGACTCTTTATTAGTAAATTCAGATCTAAGCCCTCACCAAGCTTGTGACATGTGACTTAGGAATGAAGCAATATATCATTCCGTGAGTGTTGATAAAATTGGACCGAACTAAATTCAGAACTTGTGACTGGTTTGAGTAACAATTACCCCTAAACCATTGCACTACATGTATCATATAGGCTTCATTATTATATTTTTAATATACTATTTTATAATTTCAGTTCACTAATAACCTACCGGTTCAACCAGTGATTTATTAATCTAGTACCTCAACCTAGACTTATTTGAGTTTAATAACTTTGCATTTCATACACTTTCCTGTGACAAAAAAAAATAATTTCTAGAAAAATTGAGATTATGGTTATTAGAAGGATATAAGTTTTTTAAAAAGTTTATGTACATGAATAACTCAATAATCCATATACATGCAGATCGAGGCAAACAAAAATAACCTGCTCAGGTTCTGGCCTGATTTGACAACTGATAATTTTCTAGATAGCCAGACATTGTGGAAAGACCAGTGGAAAATGTACGGATCGTGCTCTAATATGAGGCCAGATGATTATATTGCGTACGCACTCAACAGCATAAAGAGAAATGATCTAAAGAAAATCTTGGCAAATGCAGGTAGATTACCACATATTAAAAGTCAATCAATTTCATGTGCACACTCACACAAAGGGGAAGTAAAAAATAACAAAATTTAACTCGGTGTTATTTTTTGCTTGAGCTGTTCATATAAAAGGCCATTTATGACATTTTCACTCCTCATATTTAGGAACACCAAGGTGACCCTAAATAAGAAAACAAAAAGTATAACTTGGTTTGATTTTGATGTCAGGTATTGTTCCCAGTGGAGTTCAGTATCCACCAGATAGAATATTGAATGTTTTCAGGACAGCTCTTGGTGTCAACGTGGACATAGTTTGTGAGACAGATACAAATGGGAACACTTATCTAGCAGAGGTCCATCAATGTGTTGATTACTATGGAACAACCCCCATAGACTGTTACCATAAGGCAAAAGGATGTGATGATAACCCCATCTTTCCTTATCCGGGATTCGGAGAAGAAAGTCCTAATTAAGTAGATAACTGCATGCAATTGCAGTCTCTTTGTATACGAACCCCATAAATTATATATGTTGAAAATAAAGGGTTCTAAATGTAAACTAGAATGATATTACAAAAGTTACTAATAAAATAAATAGGTGTTTCCAAATATCTGCAAAACAAAAGTTTACCACATGTTGATCACAAGTAGTTTTCTTGGTATAAAAAGATTATTAGATGTTGGTACCTAATTAATTCTTTGGACATCAATCACAGATAATTAAATAACACAGATAAATAACAATAATTTATTGAAGATAACAGAGCCATTCACCATTGTGACAATAACTCTGAATTACAACAATAAACAGCAAATTTAAGCAAACGATTATGGACTCATCTCCTCAATGGACTGGCCGATTAAGAAGGAATTACAACTCACACCTATTCCCTTACAGCAACTGAGGCATTCTCCTTCTCATTGCTCACACTCAACACCCATACAAAATTCTTCACACCCTCCCCACTACCCGTAACTAACTTATATTGCTCACTCCTCTCCTCCTCTCTCTCCAACATTTTCCTCTCCATTCATTGCTTGCCATGTGTCCCTTCCAGCAACTGATTGTGCTTTATCATTACCCTTTTCCTTATGGGCCTTCCGTGTGTATATTTGGCCATATGGCTTGAGTGGCCCATCAATACCCCCTTATTCAAAATTCACCTTGTCCCCAAGGTGAAAGTAAGGAAATTCAGTCCTAAAATCCTCCAAATTCTCCCATGTAGAATCACAGTCTGCCAACTCTTCGCACTGTACTAAAATCTCAACTTGCCCATTTAACAAACGATGCCACTACAGGGCAGCAGCAGGGTGGACTTGCAACTCTAAAGCATCAGACACGCACCTTGGCAGGTCCAACACAGGAACGGAAGGATGGACAACTCTCTTTAATTGAGAGAAATGAAAGACATCATGAACTTTTGAATATGAAGGGAGTTCTAATCGGTAAGCCACCGGACCTATCTTTTTTGTGATTTCAAATGGCCCAAAAAATCTTGGGCTCAATTTCTGATTGATTCTCCTAGCCAATGACTTCAGTTTATAAGGTTGGATCTTTAAAAAAACCTTTTCACCAACCAAATAGTCTTCCTCTCGACGCCCTTTATCTGCATGTAGCTTCATTCTTTGCTGTGCTTGGCACAAATTATTTTTTAACTCAACCAGAATAGCATCTTTAGCCACCATCCATGTATCTAATGTTGCCACTGATGTACTGCCTGGTGCAAAAGAAATAATTGTGGGTGGGACTCTTCCATAGACAACTCTAAATGGGGTCATTTGAATGGACCTGTTATAGGTGGTGTTGAACCAAAATTCAGCCCATGAAAGCCATTTAGCCCAACTTCTAGGATGTCCATTTGAAAAGCAACGAAGATAAGTTTCCAAGGTACAATTGACAACTTCGGTTTGACTATTCGTTTGAGGATGATAAGCTTAACTAAACTTCAATTTAGTTCCTGTCAATTTAAAGAGCTCGCCTCAAAATTTACTAACGAAGACCCTATCACGATCTGACACCATGGACTTTGGAATTCCATGCAGCCGAATCACTTCCCGCATGAAAACAACAGCTACGATTTGAGCATCAAAAGGATGTTTAAGTGTCATGAAGTGGCTGTATTTTGAAAGCCTATCCACAACAACCAATATGGTATCTGCCCTCATGGATAAGGGCAAGCCACCAATAAAATCTAATGAGACATCCTCCCACACCTGTTGCGGAATAGGTAAAGGTTGTAATAACCCTGCAGGCTTCAAATGATCATTTTTTTGTTGTTGGCATGTATCACAAGCACGAACAAAGGCAGCAATATCTTTACGCATCCCTTTCCAATAAAAAACTCCAGTCACTCTCTTTAGCGTCCTCAATTCTCTTGAATGACCCCCCCACGGAAAGGAATGGAATTCTTGTAAAATTTCAGCAATTTGTGGAGACGATCTAGGGAGAACCAACCTGTCTTATACCACAGACTTCCCTTGAGCACCTGGTATCCTGGATGAGAATTTGCATCCAATAACACATCAGTAAAAAATTTCTTTGTCACTAGATCATTAAGAACCTCCTCAGACAGCCCTTGTAGATCTGGGCTGGTAATCATAGTAAGTTCCTTGCAATCCATAACCCGAGACAGAGCATCAACTGTTGTATTCTCACTTCCTGGTTTGTAATGGATTTCAAAATCATACCCCATCAGCTTTGCCACCCACTTCTGTTGACCCTCAATCATTAGTCTTTGCTCCGTTAAATATTTGAGGCTCCTATGATTAGTTGTAATCACAAAATGGCGCCCCAACAAATAATGACGCCACTTATACACAGCAAAAACCATTGCCTTTAACTCTCGTTCATATACTGATAATAATTTGTCCTTTTCTGAAAAAACTTACTACAGAAAGCAATTGGACGACCCTCTTGCATCAATACTGCCCCTATCCCTGCTCCAGAAGCATCTGTCTCCACAAAGAATGTCTCATTAAATTGAGGCAGTGCCAATGTTGGCAGCTTCAACATTTCAGATTTTAGAGTGTCAAAGGACATCTGAGCCTCCTCATTCCATATGAAATTGTCCTTTTTAAGCAATTGAGTCAAAGGTTTGGCAATCCGACCATATTGTTTCACAAAACGCTTATAATAACCGGTTAACCCCAAAAATCCGCGAAGGCCCTTCATATTCTTGGGAATAGCCCACTGCTTCACTGCCTCCAATTTATGTGGGTCAGCTTTGACACCTTCTTTGGAGATATGATGCCCAAATACTCCAACTCCCTTTCTACAAAGGTACATTTCTTAAAATTGGCAGAAAATTGATTCTGTCTCAGGATGTCCAATACGATTTTGAAGTGTTCACAATGTTGGTCTATACTGTTGCTATATACCAGGATGTCATCAAAGAAAACCAAGACAAATTTTCTGAAGTAAGGTTTGAAAATAGTGTTCATCAAAGATTGGAAGGTAGATGGAGCATTCCTCAGGCCAAAGGGCATGACGAGATACTCATAGTGACCTTCATGCGTACAAAACATGGTCTTTTCTATGTCCTCCACTCTTATCCGAATTTGATTATAGCCTGACTTCAGGTCTAATTTTGAAAAAATCTCAGCACCATTTAATTCATCAAGCAGCTCATCAATGACTGGTAAAAGAAATTTATCAGGAATTGTTACCGTGTTTAAAACCCTGTAGTCAACACAGAAGCGCCAACTCCCATCTTTCTTTTTCACCAAAATTAGGGGGCTTGAGTAAGGGCTGCAACTAGGCCTGATCATACCAGCAACCAGCATTTCTTTGACAAACTTTTCAATTTCTTCCTTATGATAATATGGGTAACGGTACGGTCGGATGTTAGGAGTGTTTGCACCTTGTTTCAATAGGATTTTGTGATCACACTCCCTAGATGGTGGCAGTTATGAGGGAGGTTGGAAAACATCTTCATACTGCCGAAGCATTTCTGCAAGCCTAGGGTCTCCTTCCTTAGTCCGGTCTCCTTCCTGAGTCCGTGATAGCTCCATTGTTGAATGGTGGCAGTTGATGAGACTTGGTGAATCCCTAATAAAAGAAAAAGAACCCTTAAAAGAAACAATTATTAAGTGCATGATTGCCTCCCACCGTCGGTACAAATTGAATCCCTTCGACATGGTGGTGCTCTACAACTCAGTTGAGACCCACTATTTCGTTGGGTAAGATGAATGCTTGAAGTGTAGAGACACTTAGGATGGTGGTTTGTGCTTGACCAGGTGCATAAGTTGCAGGCTCAGCCGAGCTTATGTACTTGGGGCAATAGTGCGAGGTTGGTTGCAAGAGATGCACCACTAAGTGACAAGGAGTTGTCAACCTGATGTTAAGAGAAGGTATGAGATACTGTTGATAATGATCAACCCATCGTTTAATTTGATCTTGCGGTCTCAGACGAGGATTATAGGAAACAATCGTTCTCTTAACCCATTACGGAAATTCTTAAGAAGAATAGCCCTAGGTCAATAAGGAAAAGGGTCATTGACTTAGACAAAATAGTGGGAGGGGCCATTTATTTGAAGTCTTTAATAATATGGTCTATTTATAACAATATTAATTATTTTACTTTTACATCCTATTCAGCTTAATATGTCGGGTCATTTGTCTCTGCGTACTATTCTCGAAACGAACAAGTTGACCAGTCCTAATTTCATAGACTGGTATCGGAACGTCAGAATTATTCTGTGGGCCGAAAAATTTGCTTATGTCCTTGACGCTGCTTTACCTATTGCGCCTAAGGAAGGGGAAGATGGGTTCGCGGAATTTGATTTCGCGACCCACAAGCAACACATGGATGATAATGTGTTGGCTTGTTGCATCATGCTGGCATCCATGTCACCCGAGAATATGGATGCCCCCTCCATTATCCTTCATCTCAAGGAGTTGTATGATAAGAAGGATAAGCATGAGAGGTATGAGACCTCTAGGGAATTGTTCCTATGCAAGATGACTAAAGGCATGTCTTTTAACCGCTATGTCCTAAAGATGATAGTGCTCATTGAGAAGCTAGAGGGTCTAGGCTTCACAATGGATGCTGAATTAATTAATGACTTAGTTCTATCATCACTTCCTCTTTCTTTCAGTGGGTTCATTATGAACTATAACATGCATTCGATGAATGTTACACTGCCTGAGTTGTTAAGCATGTTAACTATTGTTGGTGTGTCTATCAAAAAGGATAAGACACAAGCTCTTCTTATTGGTGGGTCTTCCAAGACCAAGGATAAGGGTAAAAGGAAAGAGCTTGCGAAGCCCAATCCCCTCAAGCCCAAAGAAAAGTCCAATAAGAAGACGGGCAAGGCCAAAGGTAAGGGCAAGGATAAAAATGACGTTGAGTGCTTCCATTGTGGCAAGAAAGGCCATTGAAAGAGGAACTGTCCTGACTACATCAAAGGTGTAATGGAAAAGAAGCATGGTGATTCTTCCACCTCTGGTATTTACATGATTGAGGTTAATTTTT